GTGAGGTTGTACATTGCTGGTGGGACTGCAAATTGGTGCAAGCACTCTGGAAAAGAGTATGGAGATTCTTTAGAAAACTTGGAATGTTTTGACCCGCTCCTTGGTTTATTCCCAAAGCACTTGAAATCAGCATACTACAGTGACACAGCCACATCAATGTTTATAGCAGCTCTATTCACAATAGTTAAACTATGGAATCAACCAACTTAGATGCCCTTTAACAGATGAATGGATAAAGAAAATATAGCATATATATATATATATATATATATATATATATATATATTCATAATGGAATATTACTCAGCCTTAAATAAGAGTGAAATTATGGCATTTGCAGGTAAATGGGTTGAGTTGGAGAATATCATGCTAAGTGAAATAAGCCAATCCCAGAAAACCAAAGGCAAAATGTTTTCTCTTTTATGAGGTTGCTGATCCATAATTGGGCGGGGGAGCAAAAGAAGAAGGGAGGATCTTTGGATTGGGCAGAGAGAAGTAAGGGGAGGGGAGGAAGTATACAGGTGTGAAGGATGGTGGAATGAGATGGACATTATTATCCTATGTACATGTATGATTACACAAACAGTGTGACTGCAACACATACAGCCAGAGAAATGAGAAGTTGTGCTCCATTTGTGTACAATGAGTTGAAATGCATTCTGCTGTCATATGTAACTAATTAAAACAAATTAAATTTTTTTAAAATAAATAACAAATATTGGCAGAGACATCAACAAATTGGAACTTTTTGCACTGAACAGTGAAAAATAGTACAGTCACTTTTGAAAATGGTATGACAGTTCCTCAAAAATTAAAACATAAAATTACCATATGATCCAGCAGTTGTACTTCTGGATATAAACACAAAAGAATTCAAAGTAGAAACTCAAAGTACACCCATGTTCGTAGCACCTTTAATCACAATAAGTAGAAGTTGAACAAACAATGGATAAAATATATGGTACATACATATAATGAAATATTATTCAGTCTTTAAAAATAAATAAATTTGGACACATACTACAACATAGACAAACTTTGAAGACATGCTCAGTGAAATAAGTCAACCATAAAAGGACAAATATTGTATGATTCCACTTATATGAGGTACCTAGAGTAATCAAATTCACAGAAACAGAAGAATGGTGGTTTCCAGGAGGTAGGAGGAAGGAATGGAGAGTTAGTATTTAATGGGTATAGAGTTTCATTTTGGGTCAATTTTTTTAAGGTTTTAGAGATGGATGATGGTGACAGGTGCACAACCTTGTGAATGTACCTCATTCCTAAAAATGGTTAAAACGGTAAATTTTAAATTTGTGGGTGCATTTTACCACAATAAAAAAGATAGTCCTACTAAAACTATCTCAAAGGTTTTGCAAGAATCAAATTCGATCCATGTAGATAAGACTTAATCTATACATCCTGTCACAAATGTTAGCTCTTAGTCATTATCACTCTCTTTTCCCCAACCGGATAACATTATCCACATGCTCTACCTAGCCATGCTTAACAAGCAGCATGCTGTTGGAGTTTGAGTGCTATCTGGTGATATTTACCTTCATTTTGCTAAACCCTGGATGCTATGTCCTAGGTAACAATATCCCAGAGTTCTGGTTCTGAAGCAGAACAAAATCATATACTCTACACTTTTCCCAAAAATGGTAATAAAATACCTTGAGTCATTTGCAGTTTCTTGGTTATACTTGACAATAGATACAGTAGTAAAGCAGCCTCTGGCACCAGAGCAACCTGTTTAAACCATGCCTTAGCTGCTTGTTGTGGGGCAAAAAAAAAAAAAAAAAAAGGTACTTAAACTTCTTTAAATGTGTTAATCAGCAAAATAGTAGTGGTAGGCAGAAGTTGAGATGGCCTCCAAGAGCCAGGCACAGTGGTGCAAACCTGTAATACCAGCAGCTTGGGAGGCTGAGACAGGAAGATAGCAAGTTCAAAGTCAGAGTCAGCAACAGTGAGGCACTAAGCAACTCAGTGAGACCTTATCTCTAAATTAAATACAAAATAGGGCTGGGGATGTGGCTCAGTGCCCCTGAGTTCAATCCCCAGTACTGAGAGGGGGGGGGGAGCTCCAAGATTTCCTGACCCCCTGATGTATTTGCATGCATAATTCCAAAGATCTCACATGATTATAATGGATTTTACTCTCATAATTTGGTTGATCTCAACACAGGAAGATTATCTGGGCAGGCCTGACCTAAACACAAAAGCCCTTTAAATACAGAATACAGGGTTGATATGTACCTCAATGGTAAAGCACTTGCCTAGCATGTACAAAGCCCCCGGTTCAGTCCCTAGCACCACAAAAAACTAAATAAAATAAAATAAATAAAAGATTACTCCCCAGTTGGTTACAGAAAAGGAAGCCAGAGATTCAAAGCATAAGGTTTCAATGCGCCATTGGTGGTTCTGAGATACAGTAGTAGCAGTCTGCATACAAGGACAGAGAGAACCTTCTAGGAGCTGAGAAACACTCCCCCTGAAAATAATCAGCAAGGAAACAAGAACCCCAGTTCCATGATTACAAAGAACCAAATTCTGCCAATATATATGAGGTTGTAAGCTAATTCTTTCTTCAGAGATTCCAGATAAGAGTCCAACACCCTGATTCTAGATGAGACCCTAAGCAGAGAACCAACCAAGTCTTCTGACTAGAACCCAGACTTCCGATCTAAAGAAGGTAAACTAATAAATGAATGGTGTTATAAGCCACTAAGTTTGTAGAACTACATTACAGAGCCATAGAAAACATATAATGATGCTGGGTGCAGTGGCACACACCTGTAATCCCAGTGGCTGGAGAGGCTAACGCAGGAGGATCACAAGTTCAAAGCCAGCCTCAGCAACAGCGTGGCACTAAGCAACTCAGTGAGACCCTTTCTCTAAATAAAAGTACAAAAAAGGGCTGAGGATGTGGCTCAGTAGTTGAGTGCCCCTGAGTTCAATCCCAGTCCAAAAAAAAAAAAAATCTAATACAATGAGGGTAGGACAAATGCTCAGTAATTTTTTTAATTGGGATCAGTTGTAAGCTGGTTAAAATACAGATTTTTTCCATGCAAAAGCTGGCAAAGCAAGAAGGCCTTCAGATCCAAGGTCCATTTGATCTAGTATGGCTTGATATTAACAGTGTTTTTCAAGGGGAGAGAACATTATTTGCATTTGATGGGGTTAAGAGGCTCATTAAGTAGGATCTGCCCTGATCTTCCAGTCCACTTACCATCTCTGGAGAAGAGTTCCCAGTAAGAGTGCTCATCAGTTCATTGCAACAACCCAAAACACCCTTCCAAACAAGGGAGCTGGACTGAGAACATTGAGAATTGCTGTAAGGGAAGTTTCCTTAAATGTGGTTGTCCTGGGCTGGGGTTTTGGCTCAGAGGTAGAGCACTAGCCTAGCATGTGTGAAGCACTGGGTTCAATCCTCAGCACCACATAAAATAAAATAAAATAAAAATAACTACGGTTGTCCTAAATTTTACCATAAAAAATGTAGTTGTCCTAAATTTTACCATAAAGCTATCTCAGTAATTGCAATGCTACCAAATTGCTTGAATCTAAGAATCACCAGGGGCACCTATTTAAAACAAGGACTCCCAAGTTTCTTGCCTGGAATCATTCCACAAAACTCAGGTGGAACCATGCAGAAATCTCTAATTTTAATTAAACACCTCAGGTGAACCTTCTGTTCATCCAAGCTTAGAAAATACTAAGTTAGAAATATACTTAGCCATACATACATTTAGCAAAACACACACACACACACACACTGGAACAGTGACTCACACCAAAACTCTTTGAAGTCATGCCTTTTATAGAAATGTAAATCTCATACTGGACAATTCTATTATACAAGATGTTCTCTAGGTCCCACAGCAATTGTAAATGGTACTCAAGTCATGAAAATGGGAGTCCTCTTCCAAAACTTTCTTCACCAGAATTACTCCTTGAAATGATATGCTCCATGGTGTAAAGCAGCACTTAAGTTTTTCAAAATATTTCTCACATTTGAAGCAAGAGCTTATATACACTCTTTTAATATGTCTGCTATTTTTAAAACGTCAGTGCCTCAAATTCTGTACCTATTTTACTATCTCTGGCTTTCTCTTTTCGGAGAGCAAAATATAACTCTCTAAGCAAAAAGATGCTTCCCTTTCTTTACGGTCTTGTAGATTTTCCACAATATCATTGAGGGAGTTAGACTAGCCTTCATCTTCTATGTTTTTCCCTTTTCATTATCAATTATCTTTTTTCCTCCTCTATCTAACCCAGTTCTCATTAGGTATTCTACTCTGGATTTCCTCCAACCCCCGCAGTTACCCAGATTGGTAACTACAGCAGTATGCCATATCCCAAAAAGATGGATGGGCACCAAAGTATGATAACACCAGTCAATAATGTTTTCTGTTCTATTTCCAAACCCTGCCTTCTAATGTGGTCTCCTGCAGCGCTCCACCACTACAAACCCCAGGAACCCACAGGCCACATGAGAAATACAGGGGTCTGTTCTCTCTCAGCATCCCCATCTCCTCACTAATGTTGGCGCAGACATTTGTGCCATGCTCCTTCTCAAAATTCTCTTGGCTAGCGCAATGTTCATCTCACTCCGTAGTCACAACTTCTGCAAAATAATAGGACGAGCGCTTCTAGGGCACACGCCTCTGGGCGGACCGAGCATTACCCTCCACCAATAGGACGAAACTAAAATGAAAGTGTCAAGGATAAAAATGACTTCTCTGTTACCAAGGCAAAGCTGCTGCCTCTCTATTTATTATGGCCGACTAATACTTGCGTCAGCCAAACAAAAAACGAATAATAACAAAATTCTGCAGACCGAAAGCCTTCAAATTCGCCTAGACCCGCCCAAATCCCGTTTGGAACGGAGTTATTCACAGAACGCAGCCAAGCCCTACAGAAGGTTAGTCCTTTCGAGCAATTACGCCAGCCTGAGGCTGACAAAATGACGTCAGGGGCGTGGCTCTGCGTCCGCTTCATTCAGGCGCTTCCGGTTCACGCGTGGTACGGAAGCGTGGTCGGCGCTCGGCTCACGCGCTGTACGGAAGTGTGTTTAGGCGCACCGGAAGCCACCGGAAGAGAGCGATGGCGGGTTTGACTGTGAGAGACCCTGCGGTGGATCGTTCTCTACGTTCTGTATTCGGTGAGAGGAATTCGGTGGAACCAAGCATCTGGGAGGGACAGAAAGAGGCAGGGGAGCAGCAAAGAACCCTGCACCTCCCACCTCCTGGATCGCTACGAAAGCCGGCATTGGGTCGGGCTTGCAGGGCTCTCTGCCTATCCAGTGGGGGGTCAACCTGATGGACCCGTGAGCAAAAAGATGCTTTTACTATCTCTGGCTTTCTCTTTTCGGAGAGCAAAATATAACTCTCTAAGCAAAAAGATGCTTCCCTTTCTTTACGGTCTTGTAGATTTTCCACAATATCATTAAGGGAGTTAGACTAGCCTTCATCTTCTATGTTTTTCCCTTTTCATTATCAATTATTTTTTAGAAGCAGGCACATGGCAAAAGCGCCTCAGTGTTCTGTATTCTAGAATGGAGATACCAGAAAATAGAGTATATGCGGAGAGTATAGATTCCTGAGCCCACTTCCCGCCCTTTAATCAGGACTTAAATCCTTTGCTTTTTACCCATAACATTTTAGTTCATCCATAGTTCTAACGGCCACCTGGCATCTTGAGGAGGATTGCAAATGAATAAATGAATGATTAAGACTTTGTCCGAGGAATCTTAAAGAGGATTAAAACTATTCTGAGTAATATTTTCTGCTGGAATAAGTTAATTTTAAAAAATACTTGTGGTGGGCTGGTGCTGTGGCTCAGTGGTAGAGTGCTTGCCTAGCATGTGTGAGGTACTGGGTTCAATCCTCAGCACCACATAAAAATAAACAAATAAAATACAGGCATTCTGTCCATCTACAACTACAATTTTTTTTTTTTTTTTTAAATACGTGTGGTGATTTTAAAGCACCTTTTGAAAAGTTCATGACAAAACAGTTCAGAATAATTTCCTCCACTCTATTCATGGTTATTCTCCTGTAAGTGTGTGTACGTGTAGATATAGGGACATTATGTACCTGTTTTAACATAATGTGTTTTTAGTAGTCACTGTTAAAAGTTGAAGACCTTCAGGTACATACCAGTCCTTAAGTATTTATTTTTGTCAAAGTTAAGGAATATCTAACACTGTTAGATCTGTTGGAGAACTCCTTGGGAGTATCTACACTTTTTGTATTTAGTTTCAGTGGTTTATTTCCCTTGTTAAGAGGTCTGAAGAAACACATGGAAGTGCATTTTTGGAGAACACTATTTTGAGCCAGTTGTTTTATATTCAGTGAAAGTAGAAACTCTACTGTTTACTTTCTCATTAAATATCTAGGCTACAAACTCAGAATTTTAATATGCTATCTGTTCCTTAGTGGGTAACATTCCTTATGAAGCTACTGAAGAGCAATTGAAGGACATCTTTTCTGAGGTTGGACCTGTTGTTAGTTTCAGGTGAGATCCTCTTCTTCTTGGTGGGAGAGTCTTATAAACCACCACAAATTTGGCCTTTAGTAATAATGGCAAGGGTTTTTTTTTTTTTTTTTTCTTTTTACTGGTAATTTTCACATGCATTTTATTTTTGTTAGCAACTTTATTGAGACATAATTTAGGTACCATATAATCCACATTCATTCTTACCTAAAAGATATGGATTTTCTTTTTTTATTTCAACTGTTTTAAATATACTTCAATGATGCAGTCTGTTATAAAGCTGTTTATCTTACAAAGGGCCATATTAAAGCATGGCAGTATTAGCAAGAACCCTGTATGTGTGTAGCATTTGTGCCTGATACTTGGTTTTGCTCTCCAGATTGGTATATGATAGAGAGACAGGAAAACCAAAGGGTTATGGCTTCTGTGAATACCAAGACCAAGAGACGGCACTTAGTGCTATGCGGAACCTGAATGGGCGTGAATTCAGTGGGAGAGCACTTCGAGTGGACAATGCTGCCAGTGAAAAGAACAAAGAAGAGCTGAAGAGTGAGTATAATCCCAGGATGTATGCATTATGAATTAATACATATGTGGCAATAAAATTTTTTCCACTTATGATGTTTTAGAATATGCTAAAATGGTTAGCCACACAGCTTTGTTTGACCAGCCTGAGGTACTTGAATTAGGAAAGTACATATCTTTGAGAAACAAGGTAAAGTTGACTTTAGAAATCCTTCTGTTAATTTCCAGTTAAAGATGAATTCAGGTCCACCAAGATAATAATTGTGCTGTGTCATTACTCCTGTGACCATGTATGTTGTCAGATCTGTAACTGGTAGGGGTACTAAGGCTTTTTTTTTTTTTTTTTTTTTGGCTTTTTTATCTCTTTAAACCTTTTTTTCTTTTGAAAGAGGTCAGTATGCCTGATTCCTTAACATTGACCATCTAAGTGATCATGGTCCCAGCTGTCTGTCCTCTGAGAACATAGAGAATATAGACGAGATTTTTAAATCATTTATTTCTCAGCTCCAGAGAATTTATCTATTGGTTCTTGTAGCAACCATGGAAAATAAAAATAAATACTTAAAATGATTTAGCTGTTTTTCCCCTAACTTTCTTGTACTTTCTTCCTGATCAGGCCTTGGCACTGGTGCCCCTGTCATTGAATCACCTTATGGAGAGACCATTAGTCCTGAGGATGCCCCTGAGTCTATCAGCAAAGCAGTTGCCAGTCTTCCACCAGAGCAGATGTTTGAGCTGATGAAACAAATGAAGGTGGGAAGAAACATTAGGTTATGAATAAAGCAGTTCACCTCAGATTTTTAAGGAGTTAATTGAAATTTAATGGAAATAGTTTCGGAGCTCAAATAGAATTTGTATGTAGATACAATTTTATGCATCTTCAATATGCCATGTGTGAACAATATACTTTACATTTTGTACAGAGAGCTTTCTATTTATACAAAAACACCTACTCAAACAATCCAGCTTGTTTTTTGTAGCCCCCGTAGATATCAGATATAGATATTAAAAATACAGCTTTATCCTAAATGATAGTATTATGGTATTTGAAATGCCTCTTCCTGCCATTGCTAAGATTTTTGTGTGCCATATAAAAACAAATGATAACTTAAAGAGCCCCTTGAGTATTACATTTGTCAGATGTAATACACAAGCTCTAAATCACCATCGATTTCTAAGTAATTAAGTATTGAACTTAATAATGAATCTGCTTATCTTCTCAGCTCTGTGTCCAGAATAGTCCCCAGGAAGCACGGAACATGTTGCTTCAGAACCCTCAGCTGGCTTATGCTTTGCTGCAAGCACAGGTAGTGATGAGAATTGTGGACCCAGAGATTGCCTTGGTGAGTGCTTCTGATTCTTTTATAGAAATGATAGGGTAGGTCTGGGGAATATAGCTTAGTGGTAGAGGGTGAGTTTAGCATGCATGAGGCCCTGGATTTGATCCCCAGCACTGCAAAAGAAAGAAAGAAGGCTGGGGATGTGGCTCAGTGCTTAAGCAGCCCTGGGTTCAATCCCTGGTACCAAAAAGAAGAAAAGAAAGAAAAATTAATGGCATGATAAACCTTGAGTGGGGTAGGGACTGCCTGATTGCTTTATTAAACAGACAGCTCATAGGTTTGTCTTTTCATTTTTAGAAAATTCTGCATCGCCAGACAAATATCCCAACGCTGATTACAGGCAACCCTCAGCCAGTCCATGGTGCTGGTCCTGGCTCAGGATCCAATGTGTCAATGAACCAGCAGAATCCTCAGGCCCCTCAGGCCCAGACTTTGGTAGGGCTTTGTGCCTGTCCCTTTATTTTATCTGTCTTAGAATCTCATTTTTTTTAGGAGAATATATTGAAAGAAGAATGGTCAGAAACCAGAGATGATAATTTTAACTTCCAGACATAAAAGCAGTTTCCAGGTTGCAGAAGCACATGGCATCTGACTGAATATAGATTTGGTTCCAAGTTTGTAAAACAAAGTGATTTTTCCTGTATGCCCTTTTCTTATAAGCTAACTTACAAGAAATGTGTATATGCATGCCTGGCTTTGTGGTTGGCACTTTGTTTTTCCATATGCATTATCTCAATTAGTCCTCATAACAGTTGCATAAGGTAGGCACTCATATTTAAATCTCTCTTTTTACTGATGAAAAAAGTAAAACTTTCTAACCATGATACAATACCCTGAACCCATACGAAATTGATAACGTTTAAAAACTGAAAAAAATCTGTATTGAGGAAGAGAAGTAAACATCAAATACAAATGACAAAATAGAGGAAGAATTTGCCAAACATAATGGACAAGAGGCAGATTACTTGATTAAAGTTCATAATTGTGTTAAAAAATGTTCATTGCCACATTATACTAGTGAAAATTGGTAATATCCTAAATGTACATCTCTGTAAGAATGAAAAATATGTGGTATATTTATCCCATGGAATACTTTAAGCAGTTAAACTACATATTATAACATGAATGACTTTCAAGAACTTAAATCCATGTGGCATTAAGATGAACTAGAGCTGGGCATGATGATGTACACCTATAATCCCAGTGGCTCTGGAGGCTGAGGCAGGAGGATTGCCAATCAAAGCCAGCCTCAGCAACTTAGCAAGGCACTAAGCACTTCGGCAAGACCCTATCTCTAAATAAAATACAAAAAATGCCTGGGGATGTGGCTCAGTGGTTAAGAGCTCCTGGGTTCAATCCCTGTTACAAAAAAAATTAACTAGAACATGTGGTATTAACATAGATAACTCAAAAACATAACAGTATAAAAGTGAAACTAAGTTAATGTGGAATGTGGAAACATTTCCAGCATGTGGGATATATGTGTCTGCATAAATCCCAAAAATACATTGAGTGAGATTCAAAGAACATATTCAGAATATAATGATTCATATAAAATTTTTAAAAATCTATGAGAATTCTTAGTGATTATCTAATGAGATGGGGATCTTGGGTATATTGGGGAAGATCATATAGATTTTCTTAGTATATATAATTTATTTCCTAAGATGAGTGGTTATAGCTATAATTTTTCATAATAAACCAAAAAGGACTCATGAATTAGTGAGAAAATTGCAAATAATTCAGTAAGAAAATGGGCAGTGGACATAAACAGTTCACAAAACAGAAATCTAAATACATAAAAGTGTCTAATCTAAAAATAAGGTAAATGTAAATAGAAACTACAGAAAGGTACTCTTTTTCACCTATCAGATTGACAGAGGTAAACAACCTAGATGTGTCCTTCAAAGTTACAGTGCAGGGGATGGCAAAGAATTAATGTAAATGACTAGATAGCAAACATGTTTGACTTTATAGGCCATAGACTTTCTGTCACAACTACCATAATAGTATGAAATCAGCCAAAGACAGTATGTAAACAAGTGTATGTTGTTGTGTTTCAGTAAAACTTTATTTATAAAACCAGTTAGCCATATTTGGCCCATGAGTCATAGTTGACCAGCCCCTTCTCTAAATAAATAAATATTTTTTCAGAGATGGGAAGGAAACGAACTAAGACTAAGGTTAAATGGTCAAAAAATAGAATTGTATGTGGCGAATGCAGGTTCTATACTTGGTCCTTTCTGACCTCGTAGCCTGTTTTCTCCTAACTACCTCGCTACATGGTTTCCTGTCTTCTGTTTTAGACTTTTGTTTTCTAATTGCTTATGTGATTTTGTTTTTTATAACTTCACTTTTATTCTTACTGAGTTCTTTCTGTTTCAAAGGAGGACTCAGTTCTCTAGGGAATTCATGGCAAAAAATCATATTCCTCCCCCCTGCCCCCAAACAAGAATTTTGTTTAAGGACAAGAGTAAACTTGGTCAAATGAAAATTATTTTCACTGGTTTTAAAAATATTTTTAGCTGTAGATTGACATGATACCTTTATTTTAATTATTTATTTTTATGTGGTGCTGAGGATCAAGCCCAGTGCTTCCCATGTGCTAGGCAAGCACTCTACCACTGAGCTATAGCCCCAGGCCTATTTTCACTTTTAAAAAGTGGACTACCAGCAGTTGCTTTTAAAAAAAAGTCCCAGCCCCTTCTTTGTCTTCATGGGTTCAAGACACTTTTTTATTGTAACTCTTACTGGTAGGCCCCAGTGATGAAATCAAGAATAGTTGCTATATGCTTCCTTGCCACACAGATAACTTGTCAATCTCTGCAGCAAGGGTATGTTCCATTTTAACTGTATTCACATAACAAAACTCATGGCACATATCATAACTTGCTTCTATGGAATTGAAAGTGTACAAAAAATATAATGTCACACAAGACATGCTATATAAAAAGGATGTTTGATAGACTATTTAGGCCACCAATTTGAAGAGGTCTTTAAGATTGTAGACTTAAAAGTATTGAATCTGTATAGAGGCATGTACCTACTTTGATTTCTCTCTTGTTCAGGGTGGAATGCATGTCAATGGTGCTCCTCCTCTGATGCAAGCTTCTATGCAAGGTGGAGTTTCAGCACCAGGACAGATGCCAACTGCTGTAACAGGACCTGGCCCTGGTTCCTTAGCTCCTGGAGGTAAGTCTCTAGACTTCACCATCTTGTTACCTTGCTAAAGTTTTGTCTTACTGGGGCTGGGGTTGTAGTTCAGTGGTAGAGCGCTTGCCTAGCACATACGAGGCCCTGGGTTCAATCCTCAGCACCACAGAAAAATAAAATAAAGGTATTATGTCCAATTACACCTAAAAAATAAATACTTTTAAAAAAAGTTTTGTCTTACTAAGTGCTGCAATATAACCAATTATTTGATAACAGAATCATGATATCACACACACACACCCCAAACCCCACAACCCCCCCCCACACACACACACTGGGGTTTGAACCCAGAGTCTCGCACATGCCTAGGCAAGCTCTCTACCTCTAAGCTACACTCCCAGCCTTAGGGGATTTCTTATATACAAATTCTACATTTGACTATGAGAGCAGGGAAGGGGCTACAAAAGTAGAAAGTACACTAAAACATCCAAAGTAAGAAGGAGAAAATGGAATGAATGGAAACAAATTCAAGGTGGCGAAAATAGAGAAAAGGAAAGACATTGTAAAGTAAATAATGAATGTAGAATAAGATGGAAGGAATAAGAAGTAGTGTAGTAGTATGGTCTTATTCTGTCAAATACAAATGGACTGAATTCTCTCATTAAAGCCCAAAAACTTTTAGATTAGGTTCAACTCATAAAGAAAACAGGCATAAAATACATTCAAACCAAATAACAAAAAGAAGAAAGAAAATATAAGGGCTGGAAAGGTAGTTTAGTGGTAGAGCACTTGCCTAGTGTGTGTGATGCCGGGTTTGATCCTCAATACTGGAAAAGAAAGAAGTCTTGAAATGACTCATTCAGTGAAGCACAAAGATTGGCAGTTGATAGAGTATGGCTGTTACACTTGTAACTTCATTATTTAACAATTGCAACTAAAGACATTGAATGAAATAGTGATTCCCCACATGGAAACATATGAACACATAATGTTTCATCAGTAAAATTTTTTATTAATTTTTTTGTTGTAAATAGACATAATACCATTGCTTTATTTATTTTTATGTGGTACTGAGGATCGAATCCAGTGCCGCACATGTGCTATGCAAGTGCTGTACCACTGAGCCATAACCCCAGCCCTCAGTAAATTTTTTTAGGCAAGTAAATTTGTTATCTAATCTGGGATTGATTGACTGCAATAGTATTCCTAGTGAACTGTTTAAATCTAAGTGAACTGAGTTGACAAGGAATGGGAAAAGATTTTTAAAGAAGTTTTAGCAAACTCAAAATTTTTATTTATCTACTGTATCCTAATGCAGTTGTAGTTAGATTTTATTTCTGTGAAAGTAATGGGATCTGTATCTTACACATCTTTTAGTTATAGGTATCTAAATTACCTTAAAATATCACCAAAATTTAGGAATGTGGTGCTACTGCACATAAATGTTTGCAGTCTCAAGTGGGTTATGAACTCCCATTTTTTACCCCAAATACAAGTTGCAGAATCACATCGGTTACACATCCACATTTTTACATAATACCATGATATGTCATGAGCTGTGTAATGTTTTGAACAACCAATAAAAAAAAAAAAAAGATATTGTGTCCACCTAAAGCTAAAAAATAAATATTTAAAAAAGAGAAAAAAAAAAAAAGTTTGCAGTCTAAGAAATAATTTCACTACCAAGAGTTTGGCAACACTTAGACTAATCTATACTTTGTTTAGTGAGACAGGTAAATTGATCACATTCTTGGGTTATCACAGCAATGTCAGATGGCTCTAGAAATTTCTAAATGTCTGCTCTCTGTTTCTGTAGTTAACTTTATCATGAAGGGTTTACCATTGTGTTATAGATCAGCACCATTTGTGGACCACACTTAGAGTAGCATTGTTCTGTTAGACAAAAAAAAAAAAAAATATATATATATATATATATATATATATATATATATATATATATATACTGCTTATTGAGAAATTAAATAATAAGCTTTTCTTAATACATAGAGACTTATTTCTTTTAACTACAAAAATACACTTCCTACTCCAAATGACCATAGAATCATTTTTTTATTCTTTTTTAAAATTTATTTATTTATTGTGGTGCTTGGGATTGAATCCAGGAGTGCTTCACCCACTGCCCTTTGTGGGGTTTTGTTTGTTTGTTTGTTTGTTTAGTTTGAGGTAAGGTCCCACTAAGTTGCTGGGGATGTGATCCTCCTGCCTCAGCCTCCCAGGCAACTGGGAGTAGAGGCATGTGACACCACACCCACCTTGAAGAATGCTTTTGTTTGTTTTCTTTTGTTTTTTAAAAGAGCATGTATTTAGCCACAAAGAAAGACCTTAACAAATTTGAAGTGGAGAATTTACAGACCACATTCTCTAATTATAATTTAATAAAATTAGAAACAAATAATTAAAAGGTTACTGAGGAAAATCTTAACTTACAAATTAAGGAACATACTGTTCCTGAATTAAAGAAGAAATAAAAAGAAATTTATAAATCATCTAAAGGAAAACAAAGTTATCTATATATACTTCATATAAAAAGCACAGAAATTGTAAACACAGTGCTTAAAGGAAAATTAATATCCTTAAATGCCTACATTATTAAAAAATACAGAGATTCTAAGTACTAGTTAGGAATTTTTTTAAAAAGACACCAAGAAGAGATTAATAAAGATAAAAGTCGAATGTAAATGTTAAATAATTAAAATTTCACATGGTGTTTTTTATGAATTTGTAGCCTTTATAATTTTGAACTTATTAAAACTTTGTGAAGATTTTTGAGATACCCTATACAGAGCTCTTTGGTAATCAATGAGAAGTGGGGAAACAACCTACAACCTAGTAGAAAAGTAGACAAAGTAAATGTGTAGGAAAAAAATGCGTAGAAAAGAAGCACAAATGGCCAACAAAAAACCAGATTTATTTATAGTTAAAAGATTACAAATTAGGGGCTGGGGATGTGGCTCAAGCGGTAGCGTGCTCACCTGGCATGCATGCAGCCCAGGTTCAATCCTCAGCACCACATACAAACAAAGATGTTGTGTCTGCCGAAAACTAAAATAAATAAATAAATATTAAAAAATTCTCTCTCTCTCTCTTAAAAAAAAAAAAGATTACAAATTAACACTGAGATTGCCCTTAAACCCATCTGACTAGCAAATGTCAAATAGAGAAGACACTTAATTTTGGTGGAGAAAGTGGTACTTATACATTGATGGTAGAACTGTAAAGTTTTTCAGCCTTTTAAGAAAGTAGTCTAACATTAAAAATTAATACACATTTTGACAGATCAATTCCACTTCTGGGAATCAAACCCATATAAATAAAAGCACCATTATGTGATAATGCATAATATGAGAAATTATGTCCTTAATTCCTCCTACTATCACTTTTCTCATATGCTAAATCTTTGTGTTGTTTTAGACATTGGTCTGGATAGAAGGAATAGTATAGAATTTTATGTCTCCAAGGGAGCTTTGAAATCATTTAGACCAACTTGGATGTCTGTTAGAATAACCTGATTGCACTTATAAAACATAGATTGCTAGTCCTCACCTCCACACTCTAATTCAATAGCTCTGAGGTGAAAAACCCAGAATTTGCCCTCTAACAAATTTTCTGGTGATGCTGAATGCTGATGCTGGTCTGTGTACCACATTCTGTGAACCAATGTTTGGACCATCTCATTCATTTTATAGATAAGGAAGCCTAGGAATGTGTTGATTTTATCAAATTGTTTGTTCAAAATCAATTTAATTGCAAGGGCAGGACTGGCACCCAGGTTTTCAAGTTCTTAATCCATAACTCTTTGGTGCTTGACATGCTAAATGAATAGGGGTGTGTGATGTGTTCTTGCTATTTTAGGGGGAAGTATTAATGAACTGCAAACATAAACTTGTCTTTTGTCCCCACTCACAGCATATATGCTCCTTTGAGAAAAAGAGGATTATTGTTAGGTTGAAGGGAACCGAAAAGGACTTGGGGTACATGATTATTCTTTGTGTAAGAGTCATTATACTCCAACTAATTAGAGTAGATTTTTGGTTCTTGACCCTATTAGACCCAGTGTCTGCTTATCATAACATATTTTGCAATGATTTTGCAATCCTGAAATGAAATGCACAGATGATGTGACTTATGTAACATGATTTCTATAATATTAAAGAAAAGTAAAAGGCAGGTACACTAGAAAACAAAATGTAGTAGTCAGATGATTGCACCTATGCCATGAATGTAAAAACTTAAAATGTAGATAGATATAAGCATGGTTTTTTGGTTTGCTTTTTTTTTGGGGGGGGGGGTGGCAACTCAGAATGCCAAAAGGACTATTGACATTGGTAATATAACTTTCTGAAATAGTGAAAACTTATAATAAAATTCTGAAAATAAATTGTCGTACTCATAATTTACTCAGTAATTTCATTTCTGAAAAATTCACATATATATTTCTATGGCTCTAGGTCCAGGTAGCTATAAACAGTTTTTAATTTGTGTGAATGGTCAGTGAGACATTTAGAAGATTTATAAGACACAGGGTAATTCTCCATTTTGTGGGACTATCTCAAACATTGCAGGAAATCTAGTATCCCTGGCCCCTTCTCACTCAATACCAACTGTGTCCCCCAAAAAATCTTTGTCACAACTGAAATAGTATACCCACACATTTACAGAATGCCCCAGGAAGAGTGCTGCCTCCCATGAAAGGAGGTCTATAGGTAAGTGGCACTGTTTTCCTGTATTACAGAAGAGCTTTTTGCAACAGCTTTGGAACTAATGAGATGAAGCATTCTAACTGAACTCACCTTTCTGTCACTGAAGCAGGAAGTATACTAACTCCATCTTCTGTCTTGCTGCATTGTTGAGTGTTAGTTTTCCTCTTCCTTTGTAGGTTTCTCCTCGTAAGGCAGAATGAGAAAATTTGTAAACTCAGCCACTATTCTAATTTTTTTCCACTGTGCTAATTTGTGGTTTCCTATCCTGCCCTTTTTCTTCTACCAGGAATGCAGGCCCAGGTTGGAATGCCAGGAAGTGGACCTGTGTCCATAGAACGGGGACAAGGTAAATAAATATTAATGCCTGATTATATGGACTGGCCTTAGAAATGTTCCATATCTGCACTCTCTAATATGGCAACTGCTCATCACCAGTAGCTATTTAAATATTAAGTTAATTGAAATTAAGTAAAATTTAAAATTCAGTTTCTTAATCACCCTAGTCACATTCCAAGTACACAGTAGCTGCATGTAGCCAGTGGATACTGCATGGGACATTGCAGATATAGAACATTTCTATCATAGAAACTTATAGTGAGCATTACTAATCTGGACTTTCTACCCAGTAAGTCAGAACCCAACTCTACAAACATCATCAATTCTTAATAGTGTAATGAGTTTCCTAGTAATCTAATGAGTCCACTGACATGTTCTTTCTCCCTCTATGGGTGTCTGTTGAATTAGTAAAGAATTTTAATAGCAAACATAATATATGACTGAGTAGGTAGAAGACTAGATTTAAACCCCAGAGCAAACTGGAAGGGGGTTATAGGTCTATAAAGACTACTTGAGAAGTGTCCATTATACTGCAGCAGGAACACTGATATCCACATTATTTCTCCATGTTACTGGAATTTGAAGAATAAAATGCAGCAGCTCAGTTGAAAACAAAGTTTAGGAGGAGAGAGGATTTAGAAAAGAGAAGGAACTGAGGGCATACTATATTTTGGGTACTTTGATTTTCATAAACATCCTTGTGAGTTGGGTGGCAGCATCTGAGTTTTACAGGTGAAGGGATGGAAATCAGAGTTTTAAAACTTAGGACAAGCTAAGTAAATGCTGATTTCTAGGTATTATGGACCAGATTTAGTACTCTCTTCTGCTGTTCCAATTAGTAAGTGTCAGAGCTAAGATTGAGAAATATCTGACATCAAATATCTGTCCTTTTTCTTTCATCTTATACTGCCTCTATTAAATATTTTTCACTATATTCTACTCTTATTCATTGGGTCACTGTGATGGGTAAAGATTGCTTTGTTCCGGCATAGAGAATCTTTAAGTTTTTTTCTTCTGAGCACGTGGTCTTTTAAAAAACAAAATGGTAAGATTCAAGCAAGTGGTTTGTTTGCTGGCATTGGTGGTTAAATTGATATAACTAATAATTTTTTTCATTAGATGCCATGTCTAACAGCAAATGAACTCCTGACCAAATGTTAAATCTTTTTTCTAAGCATCTCATGCTTTTGTGCTATTGTGTCTTCCCACCTCACCACTGTCTGTGGAGCATGTATGTACCCCAAGGTATTTTTGCAATAATGAGAAGGGATTAGGGCTTCAGTCAGACTTACACCTTTCCCCAAGCTATTAATCAATCAATCAGGCTTTAGCTGTTTAATACATACTTCCACATGACATGCCATCCTGTTACAATTATCTTCATCTTTCTGGTAAAAAATTAACATAAGGAAATGACTCACATTTTAAAGATATTTCAAGGATATCTTCATGAAGAGACAGAGTGAGATGAGCTTTCTTTTATAGTTTCCTTCAGTGCCCAGCAGAGGAAGCAAGAATCTTATTTGTGTCCAGATTGTCTCACTTTTTTTTTTTTTTTTTTGTAATCCATGCTGCTTCTACACATTTGTAGTGGTGAAAGGAAAAACAGATATTTGAGATGATACTTCTTCCTTTCCTACCATCTTTGTTTAGTGTTGGTTGGTACTCATCTCATTAGTCTTTGCTGTTGTCATGATGTTTATTATCAAAAACTTGCTGTAGCAGATCATTTCATATAGGGTGGTATTCTCTTTCCTCATCTAAAATTCATGCACTGCAATTTCCCCATTTGATAATATTTTAATAGCAAAAGTTTTTGTGCTTGAAGATATGACAAAAATAGTACTACCCACTTCTGTTATAGCTTCTCCAGAATAAATCTTGCCTTCCAGATTCTTTCATGTTTTACTTCTGAAAATATGTTTATGTTCTTTATGTTCTATGTTGCTTAACTAGAGGTTCAAAGCTATCCTTTTTATATTTTGTTTTGTTCTGGGTTAATCTTTTTTCTTTCTTTCTTTCTTTTTTTTTTCTTTTGTAATAGTGCCATAAGGAATGAGGGGAAATAGGGAATAGTAGGAGGAAGGAAAAATTGAAAATCACTGGTTATTCCTAACCAGATAAAACCCAGTGACCCTAGGCTGGAGATGTTGCTCAAGTGGTACCACGCTCGCCTGGCATGCATGCGGCCCGGGTTCGATCCTCAGCATACAAACAAAGATGTTGTATCTGCCGAAAACTAAAAAAAAAATAAATATTAAAAAATTCTCTCTCTCTCTCTCTCTCTCTCTCTCTTAAAAAAACAAAAAAAAAAAAAAAACAAAAAAAAAAACCCAGTGACCCTTGGGTTTCCCTTTGGGAAGCTATCTGGTCAAAATGGTACTGTATAACATACCCAGAGGAACTAGTGTAGTTTAGGAAGATTTTGTAGCTTGGGGCAAGGCAAGTTAATAAACTCTTGGCTTTTTAACTTATATGTGTAGATCTTTAGTCTGCTTTTATGTATGTATGTTTGTGTGTGTGTGTGTGCACTCGCATGCACGCAAGCTATTTTAAGTGTCTGCTCTTTCTCCTTTTGAACTTACTGCTCACGTAGGAACCCTACAGCACTCGCCCGTGGGACCCGCCGGGCCTGCATCAATTGAGCGAGTTCAAGGTACCCATTGTATCTGCGGGTTTCCTTTTGCTTGTGGTGTTCAGGGTGGGACGTTAAGAGGAAAAGAGCTGCTTCGCAGCCATCCTCACGTTCAGAACCCAAAAGGGTAGTGTTTTTGGGTTTTTGTTTTTCTTAATTTTTTCCTGTTGAGGCCACAAGCCTAAGATTGACCTCTTCACACAGGGCAGAGAACATGGATGATATGGGCATCTGTCCGAGGCTGTACTCCCTCCCTACTGGTGTCAGGAGGCTTGGATGGAATAGCAGTCTGTAAGGAGACAGCAGGTTCTTGCAGAGCCATGGCAGTGTTCACATATGCCAAGACCCTACCTCTCTTTTGTGACTCTGGTCCTTGAACTAAGATTGATTAGAAGGAAAACCAGGAGCATAAGTTTCTTCAGGTTGCAGTGCTAGTCCTTGGCAGGTTGCTCCCCAGTTTGCTCTTTATATAATTCCATCCATACCTCTGACATGGCACAGATTCTGCCTACACCCTGCTTCTGTTCTTGAACTGCAAGAGGATTCTGCTGTGGTGAGGTTTCACCCACTCTAAGGTGTCTGAATTATGTTGTCAGTGGTATATAGAGTCATTTCTTGTTTCCTTATGTGTCTTTCACAGCAGTAACTCCCGTTTGTTTCCCTGTCAGTGCCGATGCAAGACCCCAGGGCAGCTATGCAGCGGGGATCCTTGCCTGCCAATGTCCCAACTCCTCGAGGTTTGTTAGGAGATGCTCCAAATGACCCACGGGGTGGCACTTTACTCTCTGTAACTGGAGAAGTAGAGCCTCGGTAAGTGTTGACATAGAAAAAAACAAATATGAAGTCAGGATTTCTCCTTGCTTTGAGAACAAACTCTTTCCACATCAGTTGTACTTGTTTGCCCACTTCAAAAGATAAATATTCATGGCCACTGTCCAAGACTAAGCACCTATCCTCAGGCAAAACTGTAGTTGAGTATGTCTTTTTGAACTAATCATGACTATTTTATATTCAAAAATTGAAAATCCTAGTACACATACCTGAGCAAGGAAAACTTGTGGTGGTAGTAGTAATATTATTAACAATAATAATAGTAGTTGCTGTTAATAGGGATCATACTTATGACTCTGCTCTGAGTACTTCACTTAGGTCATCTCATTAAGCCCACACAACCCAAGCTGGGGATGTGTAGCTTAGTTGTAGAGCAGGTGCTTAGCATGCACAAGGCCCTGGGTTCATTTCTCATCCCTGCAATTAAATAATCCACATAACCCTAGAAGATTAATATGTTTAGTCCCATTGTATAGATGAAGAAAACAAGGCATACTGGTTTTTCTTTTAAGGAGATGATATTTAAAACTACAAAGAGTGTTTTATTTTTATTTTTTTAGAAACTTAAAGTTTCATGTTGATGCTTCCATGTTGAAAGACTTTTTTTGATTTAAAACCTTTTGGGACTTACATCCTTGGCCTTGATGACTTGAAAAACTTCCCCCAAATTTTGAAGATTTAGAACTCATTTTCCTGATTATCTGCTTTCAGTAGCAGGAATGGGAATGTTTAATGAGCTAATGGTAGGATAAGCATTTGGGGTAGTGTTTTTTTTAACATATTTGTAAGTACTTGTGGAAATGTGTAGTTGACTAAAACCATATGTAGTTACAAAAGCCACTTTTGTAGTTCAGAGTATACAGGTTTTGTGTGAATTTAGCTTATTGTATTAAATTGCCCTTAGCTTAAAATAAGGATTAAAATTGCATTTAAAGAGATCACTGAGTGTTACTGTTTGTGAAACTGAACTTTTTGATTCCACTTACAAATAGTATCTATAAATCAGTACCTGGGAAAATTTTACTTTCTTAACCTATTGATACAAGGAATAAAGTATAAAAAATTAAACAGAAAAGTAAATGTGCCCAATATGACACAGCTCATAAATGATATTGCCTAGATTTGAACTGTAGGTCTTAATTCAGAACCTGTGTTCTTAAGCACTGTGTTAACATTATTCGTTATGCATATAATGAATAGCCACTAAGGTTTGCATCGGTTCTTTGTTGAATATTTACTTATTGGTCTTCTATTGACACTTTACTGTTGTTGTTATGTTTTGTTTTGAAATTAATTTCTTTCCATCTCTAGAGGTTACCTGGGACCTCCTCATCAGGGTCCTCCCATGCACCATGTTCCCGGCCATGAAGGTCGTGGACCACCCCCACATGAGATGAGAGGAGGGCCATTAGCTGAGCCCAGACCTCTAATGGCAGAGCCAAGAGGACCCATGCTAGATCAGAGGGGTCCACCCTTGGATGGCAGAGGTAAGGGGAGATAACATCACAAAGCCAACTGTTGGTCATAGATTGATAAAGAACTCAGCTGTCTCTGTCTCTAATCTGGGATAAAGATTGCTGGGGCAATAGGGTTGGCAAGCATCTTTAAGGCTTACCAGCAAATCTGAGAAACTAGAGGGAGACAGCAGTCTCAGTTAAGGGGAGACATGAGTAGGGGAATAGATTTCTATCTTTTCTTGAATAGTTTTTACAATACAGGTGAATAACTGCACATTGATTTTCTTACAACTTTGTAGGTGGAAGAGACCCCCGAGGAATAGATGCACGAGGGATGGAGGCCCGAGCATTGGAAGCAAGAGGATTAGATGCTAGAGGATTGGAGGCCCGTGCCATGGAAGCTCGTGCCATGGAGGCCCGCGCCATGGAGGCCCGCGCCATGGAGGCTCGTGCCATGGAAGTCCGGGGAATGGAGGCCAGGGGCATGGATACCAGGGGCCCAGTGCCTGGCCCTAGAGGACCTATGCCTAGTGGAATCCAGGGTCCCAATCCAATGAACATGGGAGGGGTTGGCCCCCAGGGATCCAGACAGGTATGCATAATGCTTCTAGCATCTGTGTGAAATCTTGATCTATTCAGAATTGGTTATTGAGCCTGATTATTACTGCCTTCTGGCTTGAACTTTTCCTTAGCTTGTTAGAAAGGGAAGACTAGGATCTCCCTCTATTTTGTCTGTTAGGCAAGTGATTTTTCTGGCCACCAGAATGTAATCCAAAAGAACAACCTTGTCCTACCATTCAATAACTATTCATTTATAGTAGAGACCCTGAAAATTTAGGAGTCAGAGAACACTTCATTGGGGGTGCAAACCAACATCATATATAAGGCTTTTTCCAAAAGATGCTTGCCTGAATCTCAGCCCAGGTCTAACTCTCAACATGTCTACTAGTAGGATCTGGGCCTTGGATGACTTGAAAAACCTTCCCCAAATTCTGATATGCAACCCTGACCAAGAACCACTGGGTTAAAGCATATGAAGAGCAGTGGTGATTTACTTATCTTCAGTTTGCAGAAACCTGTGTTAATTATTGTCATCACATAGCCCAAATAAATGGGCAATGCAGTAGCAAAGGCAATTCACTAATGATCACCTTAAAATCTGTAGAACTGAAATCTGTCTCTTCTTTATTTGACTCTCCAGGTGTGTGTATGGTACTCCACAGTTATCTCTTTCCTCCCTTTTCATTCACATTTGATTGTGGGCAAGTGGTATATGTGTATCTTCCCTGAGTTTTTATATGCTATTTGCCTATAGCACCTGTACCTTTCTTTTTCTTCTTTCTTTGTATTTCTCTCTTTCCTCTTTCATATGTTTAAATGTCTTCCTCCATGTCTGTGTGTGAGAGAAAAAGAAGGAAAATATTAGAGCCAGAATAAACACAACTTCATGTAGTTCTCTCATTTTATAGGTTTGAAAACTGAGACCCAGAAATTCAGGTGACTTTATAAATTCACATAACTAAAAAATGGTAAAGAATAGAGCCTACTGGGGCTTTTTGCTGTTGTTGTTGCTGTTTTTTTGGTTTTGTTTTTGTTTTTTGGTACCAGGGATTGAACTCAGGGGCACTCTACCACTGAGCCACATCCCCTGCCCTATTTTGTATTTTATTTAGGGACAGGGTCTCACTGAGTTAGTTAGCGCTTCACTTTTGCTGAGGCTGGGTTTGAACTCTCAATCCTCCTGCCTCAGCCTCCCGAGCCCCTGGGGTTATAGGCGTGCACCACTGTGCCCAGCTGAGCCCACTGTTTTTTCCACTCCATTACTGTGTTCTGTATCTACACATTGGTATATCTGTATATGTGTGGCTATCTTATCTACACTTCTTTAATTTGAAATAAAATTTGTTTTCCTAATCTGTGGAGAATAAACGTATTCTATTGTTTTTCAAGTTTTGCTTTTAAATGGGCCTTGATTTTTATTGTTCACTGTATAGTCAGTAGCCTCATAATAGAATTATTTTTATGCATTCATTCAACTATTATCTATTGAGCACCTACTATGTATGAAAGTTAGGTACTAAGGATATAGCAGTGTGAACAACAAAGTCCGTACCCCCATAGAGCTTATGTACTAGCTAGGGAGACAGTCAACAAATAACTACATAATGTACTTATTTATGTAGTTCTGCTGATAATTCTATAAAGATATTGAAAAAAACGGGTTGAAAGACCATTTCTGAGTAACATCTTTTTCTTTTCCACTAGTACTTCAACTCATTATTCTGGAATACTAGGTTTTTTTGTTTTTATTTTTGTTATGTTTTGTAATGCTAGGTATCAAACACAGGGCTTTGTATACACAAGGCAGTGTTCTACCACTAAGCTATATACCCCAGCTCAATGTAGTTTGTATTAACAGAGTCAATGAAACCATTTAGATCCAAGGTAGAGGCATTTTTATAAAGCATCTTCAAACTTAAAAAAAAAATATTTTCACTTATAAATAAATATATGGAATACATTGACTTATCTATGAGATATACATTAAGAACCTCATCTCCTTTCCTATGCCTCTCTTGCTTGTGATAATTGCTTTTATTAGAATGTTTAAGTAGCTTTCCAGAAAATATGAATGTAGATTTTTATTTTCTTCTTTTCACTGTTTGTACTTTGTTTTTGTTTTTTTTACCTATGTCCTTAGTTTGTTATTTTAAATCAGATTTCAAAAAATTAATTCCAGTCCATCCAGTTGGAAACCTTTGGGTAAAAGTCTTATTGTTACTGGGATAATTAAATAAGTTACCATCCAAAGAAGGGCGTGTTTGAGAGTTAAAGAGAGAACTATTAATAAATTACTCTGAGATGAAAGCTTAAATTGGGACTGCCTTAGGCAAATGAAGACATGTGGTCATCTTGCCTAGTACTTATCTGCCTAAAACGGGTAACCCTATAATCTTAAAATGGCCATTATTAAGTGGTTACTTCAAATTGAAGTACCTCAAATTGTTATTAATAAGTGTTGCTAAGTTTTAGAAAGATTATACTTGTAGATGTTTCAGATCTATAGAAATCATTTACATTCAGACACTCTCTGGATTCAGTATTAATAAAGAACAGAACAATGATAATATTTTAAGAGTCTATACAAACCTGTACTGGTGCTTCTTCCACCCATTATCTGGCAAATGAGTTATGCATGTATGTGAATGTTCCAGATGCTAGAACTGTTCACTAAATTTTAAAACTATTTGAATGAAAAACTATAAGGTATAGTTCATGCTTTCTTTCTAATTAAACAAAATATAAAAAACAGGGTATAATAAAGTATTATTTTTAATCATTTGTTTACTCAAGGTCATCATTAAATAGACCCATTATTTTACATAGTTAAGCCTGGGTGGTTTCTGGTCTCTTTCACTGTCGTCACCTGGCTCTTCACATTGATGCCATAAATTTGCTCCTAACAGTTGTTTATCTATATTTTTTTATGTTTTGCTGCTTCTAATATGCTGGGGAAGCAGGTAATGAGTTTATTAACAATCTGTGTTTAATAAGACTACTTAAACTCTGGGTGAATGCCTGAATGTGAACATAAATTCTGGTATAGGGCCCATCTGATAGTTACACTAGGTCCTCAGAGGCCTTTTCCCTGGGTTCTGATAATCTTCCAAAGGATTGAACTCACTAAAGATCTTAAATACCGATAAGTTTGCTATATTTTTTACTTTGTTCTTTTACTCAGGTCAGTTATATTTCTTGGTCTCTGTTGAGCAGGACAGCATATGCAGCATGTTCTCTATGGAACTCTGTAAAAAGCAATTGTTGGTCTAATAGCAGGCTTTCTCCCAGAGACCTCTCCATCTCCTTTGTGCCTCTCTGACATGATTGTCTTTCCCTTACTTGTGGGATAGGGCCCTTTGGGACGAACTACCTATGTCTGATTGAACCAGAGGTAGGCAGTAGCCCTGTGAATGTAGTTTCCCCAGTGGACCAGCACACATTGTCTCTAGATTCTGTTGGCTTTCATTTGTTTCCACTGAGCACTAGTTTGCAGAATACTAACAGTTTTTCCTCTGCTTATTTGGCTGAATTTTGCTTAGTCTGATGGTATCCAATTGTGCTCTGTGATATTTGTTGATGATGCTAGAGCTATTGTAAGTAAGTATGTGTAACTTGCTAGTTGATTTCTGGCTAAGCCCTGCCTTCTGCCATTGCTAGTAGTAGAAACTGATTCAGAGTCATTTGTTTTTATTCCTATCAGTAGAGATATCCTAATTTTTCACACTGCCATTTCTGTATTTGGGTTCCCTATATGGCAGGAATTCTAAAAACAAATCTCTTCTCTCTCTCTGTGCACGTAGGTCCCAGTCATGCAAGGAGCAAGCATGCAAGGTGGAACCCAGCCTGGTGGCTTTAGTCCTGGGCAGAACCAGGTCACACCACAGGATCATGAGAAGGTAAGCAACACAGTCTGACTTCTCCTTATGCACAAATCTAGTCTTTTTGATTCCTCTTTTCACAGTTACCGTGTGGTGATCCTGGGTCTTCAAAGTCCCTTTGGAGGTGATGTTTACCCTAACTTAGAACTCTTTTATGACTTATTGACTGAAAATTTGTGGACCTGGTTCTAAAGTTTTTAAGTGTATATAAATAGCAGCTTATCTTACATTTCAGACTCATCTACCAATAGCAGATTGTGCATGTGTGCGCACGTGTGTGTGTGTGTGTGTATGTGTGTGTATGTGTAGGCCACATTGAACTGGAAATCCAAACCCTGTTCTTCCTCCCCTTTCTACTTCATCCTTAAAATCAATAGCAGACTCCTCACAAGTGTATCTTTTTGTTTTTTATATTTGGTCATTGTGGAAAGCTCATGTCTAATGGAAAAGCTAAAACATTTGAATAGGAAAGACTTTCAAAATAGAATTAAAAACTGAAGAATTCCCAGGGCTCATAGATACCATCTTAGCATGCAGCAACTTTGAGTTCATGAAGGTGTCTCTTTTGAATTATCTAATCTTAGGTATTTTAATTTGTACTTGTTCTTTTCATTGTGCCTTTTCTCACTGATTTTTTTTTTTCCTTTTTGGCCCACTGTTTGTTTTCTGTGTGTTAAAGATCTTCCCTTTTTCCATTTGCTTCATATTCCACGACAGTAGCTTTTTGGACAGAAGCTGGTGATTTTTTTGTTGTTGTTTTTTAGTTGCCATGACTGAAACTCACTACCTTCTTTCCTCTACACAGGCTGCTTTAATTATGCAAGTTCTTCAACTTACTGCAGACCAGATTGCCATGCTTCCTCCTGAGCAAAGGCAGAGTATTCTGATCTTAAAGGAACAAATACAGAAATCCACTGGAGCACCTTAAAAGGTGAGCAAAAACTTAATCCCACCCAAGCAGGATTAGCTCCTTGTATATTTGGAGTGTGTGCTTTCAAACTTAACCAGAAAGTGTTCTCTCTGGAACCCTAAGTCCTCTTAACTATACTCTCCTTACCCTTTAGTAGTCAGTGCTGTGGGGAAAGAGTAAGACTATTGAACATTACTCAATTTTTGAATTGTTTAGAATATTTTTGAACCTTTCCAAATGAAAAAAAGTAATATATGATCAGTTTAACAAAATTAAATCAGATCGAGAAGTGTAGAAAGTTAAAGGTACAAAGCCCTGCTTCCTCAATATCATTCCCCAAACAGAAACTCTTAATATAGCTTTGTGTGTATCCTTCCAAAATCAGTTGTATTATTTCATTTTAAACTATGCCTTCAAAATGAAGGAAATATAAAACAGTTAAATAAAATGTAGAACTAGCCAGGACAGTGGCACATGCCTGTAATTCCAGCAGCTCAGGAGGCTGAGACAGGAGGATCACAAATTCAAAGCCAGCCTTAGTAAAAAGTGAGGCACTAAACAACTCAGACCCTGTCTCTAAAATAAAATACAAAAAAATAGGACTGGGGATGTGGCTCAGTGGTTGAGTGCCACTGAGTTTCATCCTTGGTATACCCCCCCACACACCCTCAAAAAAATGTTGAACTATTTTAGTTTCTAGCATTCTATTTAGTTTCTAATGAGTATTTTGGTATTAAAATATTACTGTACATTTAAGGTAATAAATGTCCACTAGCACCATCAGTTCTATACATTTTGGACATTGCTGTACACTATCACCCTTATTTTTCTTGCTCATCAATTAGGTAAAGAAGGTTCAGGTAAACTGCCTCATAAATGATCATGTGACCTAACCTGATATACAAGTATTGGTTTTGTGGGGGGTTTTTTTCCCCTATATCTTTGTATCTTATATAAACGATTCTATTTCCAAAATAATTTAAAGATCTCATCGTCTCAGTATCTGCTGGGATATCTCCTTTAGAATTTCTGCTTTTACCCCATTTGTATTGTAATTTCTATCCATATATTATCATACAGTAGTGAACCCATTTATAATAATTAATAGTTTTATTAAATATATATTTTAATCCACATTTGTAATATCTTTTTAACATCTAAATAAACTGTAATAGGAGGTTATCATGTATAGCTGTCTAAATTTTTGGTATGACCAGCACTGTAACTTTTTTTCCATATACTGCAGACATTCTATTTTCTTCAGTGAAAACAGACTCTATTATATTCAGAGGAATTTACTTTTATAATTTACTTATGGCAAAGAAGGTATTCTCGGCAATGTGAGAAAATTGTCATTTTTGGCTAGTCAAGGTAGAAATATTTCTGGAAGTTCTTTCTTTGTGTATTCTTGCTGATGAGATATCTAATTTAAAGCCTTGCACATTAAACACAGGGCAATTTTTGTCTGTTTTTTAACTTTTGAAATAATAATAGATTCACAGAGGTTAGAAAAAGAGTGCCAAGAGCCTTGTGTACCAGCTTCCCCCAATGGTAACATCCTATCTTTTTGCTTTTAGTCAAAACCAAGAAATTGATATTGGTACATTACTTTGAACTAGACTATAAACCTTATGCAGTTTTTTTAAAACCACAGTAATTTGTGCCCATGTGTGTATAACTGCAGCTGTGCAATTTTATGTTGGCAAGGTTTTGATATCTGTGCAAAATGTGGCCAGAGCATTAGCTATCCTTTCATCCTATACCTAGCTTTGGTGATCTCTCTGTGCTGTCCCTAATAGCCTTCTATATTATTATTGTTAGAGATAAGCAATTCTCAATCAGGGACAGTTTTGCCCCTGAATGGGCATTCTGGCAATGTCTTTAGATATTTTGGTTGTCAAATTTTAGGGAGTATTGTATGCCACTGGCATTCAGTGTGGGTAGAGACCAGAGATGCTCCTGACCATCCCATAATGCATAGGATATTTTCCTCACCTGCTAATATCAGAGAGTACTCTGGCACAAAATGTCAATATAGTGCTGAGGTTAAGAGACCCTGCTAAAAAGGATGATTGCTTTGGGAAGTGGGAAGCAGGAAACAAACACCCAGAAATTCTGCCCTGGGAATTTGATCTCATGCATATTGTCCTTCCCCCTAGCCTTTTTTTGGTTTTTTCCTAATGTTTGGGGAAGAGAACTTTGTCTCCACTTCTAATGGCTTTCTCCCGATTTTTTCTTTCAGGTTTTTAAAAATACCTGGCAACAAATGTGGAAATTAATTCCATGATTTTGTTGAAATGTTGAAAAAAGGTGACTTCTGCATCCTAACCCTTGAATGACTCAATTTGGTGCCAGGTGGAGGACTCCCATCACCTTCTCTCAGAACAAAATCAGTTCATTTTGTCTTAGTTTGTATATTTTCTGTGACTTGAAATAAACTTTGAACACAATTTTAGTACACTGCAAGTTGATATACATTACCTTTTTGCTTTTAAAAAGCTGATCACCAAGGGTGAAACCTTAGATATGTTTTCTACCCTTACTGCAGCATTGTACTTTATGTTATATTGTCATAACTGTTTTTTTACTTTAGATTAATAACCATTTATTCTTCTTTATGATATTTGAGGATTTCTCAGAAGCATTGTTTTCTGGAACTTAGTTTTTGTTTCATTTGCTTCCAGCAAGAATAAGGCTTTGCCCTTTGAAAACTTTCTAGAACTTCTGAAATTCCTGGGAGAGAATAGCATGTGCATGGAGCTATAAAATGATCAGGAGGCCAACAAAGCAAAGGTCCTACAACAACTATATATTTAGTTTAGAAGAATGCAAATATAAAAATGCAATTTTTTTTGTCAGTAGCAGTTCTTAACATGCATAGTTTGGAGTTACAACAAAGATTGTGTTGACACTAGCTGGAGTGTGTGTGTCAGCAACACAAGGGATTGTTGACATTTACTTGTGTGTTCTAAAACTCTTCAGTCTAGGTAGTCAACTTTAAAAGTTTAAAAAGTCAATAGCTTTTCACATGTTCAGGATAAATTAAAAACTGAACAGAAAACAAATGAACAAAATACATTTCATCCTATTTTCCAGGAAATCACTGACCTGCAGTCCTACCCTGTAACCAAATTATTCTGGGAACTTAAAACATAGAAACCCCTAAAACTTTTACATTCTTCTCAATGATTTTAAGAGGACCAAATGTATAACACAAGCAGTCAGATTGCCCTTTAGGTCTGCCCTTGCTTGCTTCCTTGCAGATAAGTATGAACATAATTAGTGCCACTAGCTCTAACTTATGGGTCTCTCCTTGCCTGGTATTCTCTCTCTTATAATGGCAATGAGGAGGGACATGGTTTCTCTCCATCAGGCCAACCTTGAGAGGTTAAGTGTTGCCTTAATAATTAGTAAAGTTCTACTGGAACTACTTTTGACCCTATTTATATTCTCAGAATCCTATCCTCTGGGTTAGGATTATGGTCAGGTGAATTAAAAGTCTGGCATAGGCTTAAAGAATGTAATAGCATATTGCTTACAGGTCAAGCAAAAGAGTGCAAAGATAATCAACTTCATGAGAGACATTAAAATTGAGGGATTTTCTACTCTGATATATAAACACTTACAATGAAAATTTGCTGGATGTTTCATATTTCAACCTCACAATACAGCCGAGGAGATTTCTGGGTATCCTGCTCATCCCAAATTCAGCTTGAATGTTAGTTGTGCATAGAGTTTATTGTTTTCATTAACTTTTCTGCCTATTTCCATGAATATTTAGTCCTTGATGTGTTGGTTTTGGCAGCTGTCATCTCTTGAAGTGTCATTATATTTAGACATTGAGACCAAAAGTGAAACATTTCTTGTTAAGAACTCAGGTTTCAAATCAAGGTCATTGAAGATGAAATTATTTAGTAAGCAGTTATCAGGAAGCATATCTTCACGTTCCATTGTTCATGTTCCCAAATCCTTATTAATCTTAGACAGCTGAAATTCAGATGAACAAATTGGCAACAGTAGTGGCATTTCAATTTAGCCCTACAGAAACATTCATTGGTATATTTTACTGATGAATAACAATTTAGCTACCAAGACCTATTATGTTCAGACTAGTGACTGAAAAAAACAATCATTAATTCAAGCCATGGAGGTTCCTGGTAGTTAGAAACAACCTTTTGTTCATTCTTGATCAGTTAATGGTAGAAAAATAGGTGCTGTAGTGCTAATTTAGTAGAAACATTCTTATAAATCTATAATGAGTTGAATTGTCTTTGAGCACAATGAAGTGTGTATTTTTCCCCTCTTTGAGAGCCTGGGGCTCCTTTCCTCCTGGTTATTCACTGTGACAACTAACATCCCATAGCCAGTTGTGGTCATTGTACACTAAGTTGGGTAGATAGGAGAAGTAACATTTCGGTAGGAGAAAGAAAGGCATTTTGCTTGTGTCATTAGGTGAATGATTCTTTTGTGAAAAGTAAGTAGGAGCCAAAAAATTTTTATCAAAATTATAAATTCTTTATTTTTACATTAGATGTTAATAAACATCCCTTAATAAAAATGGGGATAAAGAGCTTCTGCTGACTAAGTCATCCATGATGGTGATCAAGTTTTCCCAATTATTTCCTAAATACAACAATACAAAATAATAATATAGCTAAATGAATTTATTATAATTCAACTATTATGTTTCAATGATGATTCACATTTTCAAAATTTTCTTTCCCAAATGGAAAGCCCAGAAAAAGTAACAGACAGATTCATTAAGCAAAAAAGAAAATCCTTCATTTTTGACCAGCAAAAATAAAAGTATAAGTTGTTCACACTGGATAAGATCATATTTAAAGTAACAATGTACCTAGTCGGCATTATATGGGGATGGGGTTCTTGGTAATTTTATGTTCATTGTTATTTATGGTTATTATGTTTTGTCATTAATTCAATAAATTTTTATTTAAAAAGTCACCCTACTTAGAAATCTTCTGTAAGGGCAGGAGGGAGGGGGGATTATGAACTAAAGTCCAGGAGATGGAAACACTTGGAATTAAAGTCACCTGGAGTTAAATAGTGTAACTGACAACCACCAAAGCTCTGCCATCAAGCTTTGCCATGGTCTTGGCTTTCTAGGATTGACAATTTCCCAAGAAAGGATCCATGTGCTTTGCAATTATTGACTTCTCAAGTTCTTAGATTGGTGAAGCTCAAGTATTAACAAAGTTAAATGCATTTCTTTTAATGACAGCGAGTCGAGTCAAGTCAAGGCTTGAGAGGTACAGTATTATCATGAAGTGGCTGAACAAACCTGACCAGATGAAGTAAGTTGTTGAAAATCCAAAAGAGGGACAAAATGCAAACTACTGTGTTTACTCCTATAGTTCAGAAATTTTCTTGATTGAAGTAGAATTGAACCTTCCGAGGATCCAGACTGGAGTATCGGTGACAACATTTGCGCAGGCTCTTTGCCAAAGTCAGAGGACCACATAGAAAAACCCCCACCACAGACCTATACAAATAGAACAAAGTCTGTTGATATAAAAAGGAGAAATGGCCTTCTACTACTCCCATCAACACTGAACAAAAATTCCATCATTGACTCCCACATTCTTCACGGTAAGTGTTTTTAACCTTTTCGATTTGCAAGTCCCTCATGTGCTCTCAATCCAGATCACTCTCAGCACTGAGCCATTTCATTGAGAACACAACACCGAAGAAATATACAACACATCAGTAAGACTGGAGCCAATCTACCTCAGTTCAAATCTCACCTCTGACATTTAACCCACCTTCATAACTTAAGGCAAGTTGCTTAACATCTCTCTCTGTGTTTTAGCTTCCCTTCTGTAAAATGGGAATAAAAATAATACCTACCCCATAGGTTTGTTTTGAGAATTAAATGAAAACATACAATTAAAAAAATGCCTAGCACACAGCAAGTGCATATGTGTTAGCTGACATTAAAGCCGTCCACTGTGAACTTATCCCCACCTCAAAATTTCTCACACTAAAGAGGAGATGTTCTTGCCAAAGCTAACTTTTCCAATTGTGCTCTGGGTCTCACCTGCCTTCTCTCTTTTTAAATCTAATTATGGTGCGATTCACATACCATAAAATTCACCCTTTTGAAGTGTGCATTTAGTGCTTTTTAGTATAGCCACAAAGTTGTGAAACCATCACCAACTAATTCCAAAACATTTTCATTATCCCCAAAGGAAACCCCATCCACATTAGCTAGTCACTCTCCATTTCTTCCCAATCACAATCTCTCTACCCTAATCTACAATCTCTATTTAGATCTGCCTATTCTAAACATTTCCTATAAGTAGAATGATACAATAAGTGGCTTTTTATGTCTTCTTTCATTCAGTATAAGGTTTTCAAGCTTCATCCATGTGGTAGCATGTGTCAATATGTCTTTCATTTTTATAGCTAAATTATATTTCCATTATGTGGATGTACATCTGTTAATGGACACAGGTAGTTTCCACTTTTAGGTTATTATGAATAATGTTGCTATGTATACTCATGCATAGGTTTTTGTGTGTGCATACATTTTCATTTCTCTTGGATATATATACCAAGGAATGGAATTACTGGCTCATATTGAAACTGTTAACACTCTGAGGATTTGCCAAAGAGTTTTTCCCAAGTGCTACAATCTTATTCATTCTCACGGCTTTAACTGTGTTCAACTCAAACAACATGATAATTAGTATAATCTCATTTGCTTGTATGCTGCTGTTTTACAATTTACAGAGCAATTTTCATATATTGTCTCATTTAATCTTCACAACAATCCTGCAAGTGAGTACAGTAGGTATTTATTTATATAACCCCCATATTACAGATAAAGAATCTGAAGATCAGAGGGTTTTCTATCTCCAGGTCCCAGAGCTGGAAAGTATCAAAACCAATATTAGGACCCAGGATCATCCAAATCCAAATAACTAAGGGCTCTTGCCACTCCTTTCACAAGGTCTTTCCCAAGCACTTCGTGTTTTTAAACCATAGGTGTCCATGCACTTGTTTCAAGGAATACATCATTCTACTTTGAATTGATTGTATGCATCTCTTATTCAAATGTGTGCTCCTTGAGAGCAAGAACCATACCCTATTTCTCTTTCAACTTCCAAAGTTCCTGTAATAGTGAATGTTGAGTTTATAGAAAGTAACCAATAATGTTTGTGCAATTGAATTGATCTCACCTGCCAACTTGTTCAGGGAGTTTACCTACCATGACCAACTTCATCTCCTTCCCATTGGAATGGCTGGTTTCATAGCACTAGGTTTTCCTGTATGCTCTAACATGATTCAAAACCCTCCAAAAAGACTGAGATTAGTTGAACTAGATAATACATTCCAAACCCTTGTTTCTGTAGAAACACCACCAAAAAAAAAAAAAACACATTTAAATTGCTCCAGTTTTCTGTTTTATTTGGTGAACTGAGAACTGAGC